CCCCGAGAGGTGGAAATGTATAATATAGAAATAAAAATAATTAGTCTGTAACTAGTAGCAGAGGATACGTGCAGAAAATTGTGAGAAGGGAAGGGGTGAAAGTATAAAATGTCTCTGACAGGTCAGGGTCCTCTACTCAGTTCAAAGGCATACACTGAGAACCTTTGTTTTTCTTCCTGGAAATTTCTTGCCATTCTAACTCCTTGGCCAAGAAGGGAGTTCAAGATTTCAGGTAGCAAAAAAGGGCACATCAGAGTTAGAAAGGGGTGGGTGGATTTCTTCTGACAAGCTTTGGTCCTCAAGGAAGCTGGGTCCTTTGTGGCCGTTGGGAATTGAGATAGCACTTTTCTAAGAAGGCTTGAGATATCTCTGAGGAAGAGAGATGGACATTTGGCCTTTGTCCCCTCACTGGACCACTGGGTGTGGTCCTAACTCTTACTTTGTATGACCAAATGAAAGACCAGGCTGCCTAATAACTTTAGGAGGGGACCAACTGCTTCCCTGCCAGGGAAAAATAATTCAACCTTCCTTTAAAAATAAATAGCTAAAAGCCAATCACATACTTATAATTCAAACGTAATGCTGGTATCTAAATCCAAGTGCTACATTTCATGAATCCTATCACCCCGATTTGTACCTAAGGCCCATAGGCTTTAACTCCTTTGGTGGGCAGTCTGGGGACCAGAGAAAGTAAGTCTTGTCACAAAGTAGTAGTTCCTTTGTGAGGGGGAACAGTAGTAGGGTACTGACAAAGGAATCTAACAAGACAGAGGCCCGATATATTCATATATAGGTAGAATTGGAAGTCTTTGAATTTTGTATATTTTTTTCTGTATGTGTATACATTTGTAACAACAATAAAATTACTCAATTGTCTTACGTAGTAACTATTTGGAATTATTTACTACTGTAAAGTAGCTTACCATTTGCATTTGGAAAGAACATTTTAATCTCTGAAATTAAAATCTTAAATCATTTGTACATTTAATGCTAGAAATGAACAAATGGGCTTAGAATCCAAACAAAAGTATATCTCACAATATTGTATGGCAACTTGAAAACTGTTGCCTTGTTACTGCTGTGAAAATTTATATTCTGTCATAGTTGTTACGATTTCACATAATAGGATGAGGAGGGGCTGTGCGTTTCTAGCATCTATCCAGAAAGAAGGAGGTAACATGTATCTTCTAACTATAGAAAGTCATCTATTTTTTATTTTGTCTGAAATAAAATTCTCATTTTTGTCTAGAACCCTTTCTTTTTCTCAAATTGCACTCATATATAATGTCTGGCACAATGAGGCCCTCAAATATATACATACCTGTTTGTACTATATTTTAGCATGACTATTTTTATGGGGAATAGTCAGAAATCTGTGCATGCTCTACAAAATCAATCCAGCTTTTCACAGGCAAGCAGAGAACTGAGGAAAATCATTCAAATGTTTGGTGCAATGAACCAGATGATTTCAATTTCAACTAATTACTTCAATTCACTTCTTCAATGTAGCTGGGTAGTCTAAATTTCTGTTTCAAATGTACAGCTTTTATATTTTTGCAAAGTTCCGTTTTTCAGTGATTTTTAAATCTTTAGTTTCTATTTCACTTCCCATTTACCATTTCAATCTGAGACTTTAATACTGTTTCCACAGTTACAAGCCTCAGGTTAATCATGGCCCTGGGAATTGAGTTCTCCAGTGTGTACACAACCCCCTTGAGGGGGCTTTGGGTTCCTAGTGTAGATGATTGGCTCCAAATCCTGCCCCTGGAGATTCAGCCACACTGTCAGCCAGCTCACCCTGCCTGACAAACACTGCTGGTGAGACAGAAGTCAGTGGTTGGTCTTCACCACTGGAGAAAACTAAGGAATCCATCTTTGGTCTTGCAAGGGAAGGGTAGTAGACAGAGTCTCCAATAAAGTGTCTCATCTGTAATGGCAGCTTCTGCAGTCTGGCAGAGATGAACACAGGCCACTGGATGAAAGGCAGTGTCTGTTTCTCAGGACCACCAGGTAGACTGAGATTTTCTACTCTCCCAGGTGTGCCAGGTAGATGCATATATTGTGCTTAACAATATAATGCTATTTTCCTCATCACTGTATTTCCAAATCCTACTTGTATTTTAAGGTTGGCCTCAAGACTTAGTTTCTGCATTAAATTATTCCATTATGTATTAAATACATATTTAGGCTATTAAAAGTATAGAAAATGGTGTAGCAAACACTTGTGTACCATTAGATGATTTTTATTTAATAAAAAGTATTACTCTCTGGAAGAAGGTAATGTTCTGTTGAGAGAGAAGTAAGCTTACCCAGGTCTAGTAGGAATTACTTTCTGTGACATGCTAAGAAATGAACAAGGAACAGAAAGGTCTATTTCAACTTGTGTCTGGATTCAGCTACCTCTTTTTTTGCCTCACCAAGACTTTGCCACTGCCTTTACCCATGATAAGCTCCATCTGCCAAGTCACCTCTAGAATAGAATTATGCTTCTGATGGACCTTCCCAGCCTCCCAAACAGCTCTCCAGCCAGGAATGAACACCAAGGAAACCAGTTAAACTTCCTACTTGTATTGACTCAGAGCCTAACAGAAAACAGAAAAAAATGTTGCAACATTATTAAGGTTCTTGGTCAGTTCTCTGTCTACAAGTTAGCAGCTTCTTTCTGCAGAATTCTGACTTTCTCCTTGTTAAAGGTGGAATTGCATTTCACATCATCACCAGCCCGGAATTCATCTGTTGAAGTTCTAGCCTCCCAGTACCTGTGAATGTGACCTTATTTGGAATAAGTTTGTTGTAAGCATAATTAGTTAAGAAGAGGTCTTACTGGAATAGGATGGGCTTCTGATCCAATATAATGGATTCCCTTATAAAAAGAGAAAATTTGGACATAGACACTCAGAGAGAAGATGATGTGAAGACACAGGGAAAAGACAGCCAAGCGATGACAGATGCAAAGATTAGAGTGATGTATCTGTAAGCCAAGGAATCCCTAGGATTGCTGGCAAACACCCGAAGCTAGAAAAAGCAAGGAAGGATTCTCCCCTACAAAATTTAAGAGGGAGCATGATCCTGCTCACACTTTGATTCAGACTTCTAGCCTCTAGTACCGTGAGACAAGAAATTTCTGTTGTTTTAAGCTTTAAAAAAATTAAGATACATTTTTAAAAATTTAAAAGTGTTACCGATGGTGTTTGATATAGCTTTCTATATACTCCAACATAATTAACATAATCCTTATTTCTCCTTTCCAGAAGCAAGTTGTCGCCTATTATTGGGCTCTTAGGTAGGGTTTTTCAATGATTCTGCCCTTTCCTGGATCTTAATTTTTCACAAGGAGTCCAGTTCCAGGTCCCTAACTTAACCAAATCTTAGGGCCTGTGCCTCCATGCAAGCATTAAGAGACCCTAAGGTGGAAATGCAATCTGGAGCTTTAGCTGGACCCATCATCTTGACTGGGAACACTTACACCTCTTTTGACCTCCCAAATTCTCTCTGATTCCTGTAGCATTGAACATTTAATCCACTTTCCAGTCACTTACTTAGCACCTACTTATAGGTACAAAATAGAAGATGTATTACAGTATTTCCTTATAAGACTATAAATCCTTGAAGCAGTATTATTCTCTTTTTAAAGCAAACTGAGGAGAGTTTGCCTAAAGAGTTCCTACTCTATAGGATATTGTGCATGTATATTAGTCTGGTTGTCAGAGAAATCTGTACTCATAAGTAGGCTTAGCTTTACCGAACATGTGATATTGCAGCCATTCAACAGTTATTGATAGCCTACTATGTCAAATTAGTGAATTAAGTATTATAAGAATAAAAGAAGTACACAAAGATTTATTTTCCCTACCTTGAGTATCTCTCAAATGATTGAGGCATTTTTGAAAATACATGTAGTAAACTACTTCATTATTTCAGTGTAGTAATCATGCTGAGGCTTCAACAAAGGTTACTGTTTTAATTGTAATATTGTCATTATCATATTTTGTATTTTAGGAATTTGTTAATATTTAAATTTTTTCCAGAGCAAACCTGAAAGTTAAGTGTTTGCCCAAACAACTGAATAAGAATTGTTTATCTTAGACCAAATCATCAGTATCACTGGCATTTTTACCAGAGTTTGAAAATGTATTCTTGCACCTCATTCTTTTGCCTTGCACTGGCAGCAAATCACTATGTATAGAAACTGCCAAGACAGGCCTTATGGAACTTACACAGCATCTTTCTCTTTGTGACTTTTGTGAACACAAATTGGTGATGGATAATTGAAATATGCTTGGCTACAGATTCCATTCTGTCATCTGGAACTGAACTAAAGCAAAATTATTCAAGGCACATTTCAATGAAATTCTTTATGAATTGACCATTTTTGCTTTTTATTATAACTGGACAAATTGCCTTATTATATAATACATCATCTTTTTTAAAAAATCAACTTTTATTTTAGATTTAGGGTGTATATGTGCAGGTTTGCCACATGGGAACGCTGCGTCATAACACTGAAGTTGAGGGTACAGATGATCCCATGACCCAGGAAGTGAGCACAGCACCCAATAGGCAGTTCCTCACCTCTCCCCTTCCTTTCTCCTCCAGCAGTCCCCAGTGTCCATGGCTCTCGTGTTTATGTCCATGGGTACTCAGTGTTCAGCTCTCACTTGTAGGTAAGAACATGCAGTATTTGGTTTCCTGTTTCTGCATTACTTTGCTTGGGATAATGGCCTCTGGTGGCATCCATGTTGCTGCGAAGCACATAATCTCATTCTTTTTATCACTGCATAATGTTCCATGGTGTATATAATATATCTTTTTAACTAATACTATTTAAAACTTCACATGCAATGTTCCTATAATTTTATTTCTATCAAAAGTGTAATAAAGTATTATTAGTGTAAACGTCACAGAAATTGTGGTGGTCAGTCATCAGTCAAGAACTGAATGTGCTGAACCAAAGACTTATTAAAACTATAATTTGGATTTATTTTTGTCTTATTTTCCAGACACTGCAAATGGATATAAACAAGCTGAACATAACCTTGCTTCGGATCTTCCGTCAAGGAGTGGCTGCAGCTTTAGGACTCTTACCTCAGCAAGTGCACATCAATCGCCTCATTGTAAGTTACCTACATTTTACATTCCCAAAATTCAAGCTCTGTGTGTGTGTGTGTGTGTGTGTGTGTGTGTGTGTGTGTGTGTGTGTGTTTTAATCACCAAAGGGCTCACACTTTAGTTGTATGGCTCATGAGCCAAATCTGGTACATCATCTGTTTTTGTAAATAAAATTTTATGAAATAAGCCATATCCACTATCAATGCATTGCCCATGGTGACTTTTATATTACAGAGGCAGAGTTCAGTAGTTGCAATACATTGGCTCATGAAGCCTACATTTTTTATCATCTGGCTTTTTATAGTGGAAGTTTCTTAACTCCCTGTCATAGTTCAAGCCTAGCTCCTGTGGTAAATATGAAAGGGCCCAAAACATTTGCCTTACCAACCTGGCACTAGTCCAAAAACATTCTCTATTAGAGTGAATGCCTCTGAATCAGGTGAGGCACTGTTTCCACACATTATTTATTAAAGCCCTTTCAAATATATCAATAGAATGATGGACAGTGAATACACAAGGCGGAGGGGGTGCATTTTAAATAAAGAATAAAGAACTGACCCTGAGGACTGCAGCCCAGATGGAATGTCGGAATTGGTAGTCTGGGAAAACCAAGAGAAAACTTGAATGGGCATCTGAGTGGGTAAAGTAAAAAATAAAAATTTTAAAAATGAAGTAAACCCAAAAGATCTATTGTATAGGACCCAGGTAGACCTATCTGTCAGTCACCCACATTCATTAATTCCTGTCTTTCCTCGGTGTTTGGGAACCTGGATATTATCCAACTACATGTTCCCAACTGCATTGGAAAGTGGGTGTGAGAAAAGGCCAAAAAAAAAAAACGCAAATTCAGATCAGATGACTGTCTCTTTGTAAATAGCTAGTCACCTCATTTTTATGTGAAAAGGGGCTTCGGGATCACTGTACAAGTTTTAAATTGTTCTTAATTTCCACTGCATTCTCCCAACCTTAAATTGCTGTGCTTCTTCTTCATGGAGTTCAGCTTTCTGCTGCTCAGTCTGCCTTCACTATGGAGGGAATTTGCTTTTTGTTTTGGTTTGGGTTTTATGTTTCTTTTTATTTTTTCTGTGTGTAGAGAGTGAGTTGTTTCATTTCCTCATAAAAACTTGTATTCTGTGAATCAACAATGTTGTAGAACTGAACAAGCTTTTAAAAAGTTTTAACTTGTACCACAGAAGAAATATACCATTCTCCTGAATAGTCAAGGTTACTTATATCTGGGGCATACCTTGCTCAAATGAGAAGATTTAAGTATTAAAGAAGTCTTGGCTGGGTGTGGTGGCTCATCCCTGTAATCCCAGAACTTTGGGATGCCAAGGTGGGTGGATCACCTAAGGTCAGGAGTTCGAGACCTGCCTTGCCAACAAGGTGAAACCCTGTCTCTACTAAAAATATAAAAAAATAGCCAGGCTTGGTTGTGGGTGTCAGTAATCCCATCTACTTGGGAGGCTTAGGCAGGAGAATTGCTTGAAGCTGAGAGGTAGAGGTTGCAGTCAGCAGAAATCATGCCATTGCCCTCCATCCTGGTCAACAACAGTGAAACTCTGTCTCTAAAAAAAGTCTTGAATCTAGATCTAGATTTTTTTATATATACATATAAAAATATATATGCATAAACCTGTGTGTCTGTATTTTGCTAAGATATATAGAGAGATTATTTAGATATGGATATCTTAGATATACTTTTATACATATAGGGTTAATGAGCATTATAGCTGTTTGCAAGGGATGAAGGAGGGATTTGTCTCACTGAGGAAGGGATATGCTTATCCTCAGAATGTTAATAGCATAGTTAAAAGTAGTTACTGTAATAGCTAAAGTTACAATACCTGAGATAGCAGGGTGTGGTGATTAACAGCATGTGTTTTGGAGACAGACAAAACCATACTGCATTTCCAGTGTGGCCATATTCCATCCATGTGAATGTGGACAAGCCACTTACGTTTCATTTGTAAAATAGAGACAACCATAATACCTATTATCTGGGGGTGTTCTGAGCAATAAATGAGATAAGAGATTTAAGGTAAATAGGAGCATGTCAGGCACAACACAAGTGCTCTGTCCCTACTGTCAATGTTATTAAGTCACAAACTATTTAAATTATTATAAACATGTTTCACATCAGTATTTAATTATTGTCTGTTGTTCTCTGCATACATGAAAATACTTTTCTGGGCTTGCTAGTAGTAAACTGATACTTCATTTTATACCCAGCTAAAATTCTGATAAAGCACATTAAGAGAGAATTTTCTAGCATAAGAGAGCTCCATGTGTCACAAAGAAGGCTAACAATAATTTCATTCTGTTAGTGTATTACATAAGTTATAAAAGATAATATTATCAATGGCCATGTCATTTTTGTCTGCTGTTTTTGTGTCCATATGTAGACTATCAGACATTTATGGTAATTCTCTTATTCCATTTTAGCTAATGAAGTAATACTAATAGGAAAAGTATTATGACATCATTACACAATATATGCATTTCTACTAAATGACTGATATTAACTGTGTGACATATTTGAAGTGAAGAAGAGAATCAGGAAAAAAATTTCAAAGCTCATATGGCACCATCTTCCTTAGTTAGCCAAGCCTTCACATTAACAGAATCTATAAAGTAACAGAGAAAGTGGTGATGTCTAATATGCAATTTTACTATTACATTGGATTGTATTTAACTCACTTGATTTTAAAATGCTTCTTTAAACATAATTACTCAGGGAACATCTGAATAATCTACATCAAAAAATTACAATATGAAATGGTAAATTAATCAGCATACAATGAAATACAAAATTAAAAATCTTGAGGGGGACAACTAATTGCAAGAAAGCTATTTGAAGATTTTCGACTTTGGACTGGTGATATTAAGTCTACCAGAAAATAACTATAAATATAATCTCCACAATGCCTTTTAGGATCCTAGAATTCTGACTTCCTTTAATGTTTCTAAAGGAAAGGTAAAAATATTCTCCAAAGTTGTTTAAAATGTCTATAACACATACAAATACTCTGTTTTTATTAGGGAAAGAAGAACAGTATTGAACTGTTTGTGTCTCCCATAAACCGTAAAACAGGAATTTCTGATGCTCTGCCCTCTGAGGAAGTTCTTCGTTCACTTAATATCAATGTTTTGCATCAAAGTTTATCCCAATTTGGAATTACAGACATCTCTCCTGAGGTATGTTGTTGCACAAAACGTTTCATTTTAAAATGTGAACAGTTAGCATGCTATGGTAATTCAACCCCAAGAGGCTTTGAGATGAAAGCTGTTTATTGTATATTACTTGATAATAAAAATTTCCCTGAGTGTCAGAATTTCCTGATCTTTACATTGTACATGTTTACTTCTTAAGGAAATGTGTTTTCACATTGAAGTTTCGCTCTTTGGCATTTTTCTTCTTCAAACCTTTCTGGCCTTATAACTTATTTTGACTTACCTAGTAAATTTTCTAGAAGAAAGAAGATTTAGATGTATTTGTCAAGTGATCACTTGAAAGTGATATGTCAAAAAAATACCTTTAAACCTTTCTTTCTGTACAGGTACACCCCTCCTCATTGTTTTCAATGTCAAAATTCACCAGATATTCACTGTTTCCCATAACTTTGGAATTAATTTGAAGTGTGATTTTTCTTTTGTTGAAGAAACAATCTTAAGAACTACACGTTTCTTCATAGTATTTTCCAAGTTTGGCACTTTTAAAGCATTTTCTCTGCCACCTCTACCATCTCACTCCTGAGTGGATTTATTTCCCTTTCCACTTCTTTTACTCCATCCTGCTCTAACAAACATGCTGGAAGCACTGTCATCTTAAATACATGTAATTCAATTCATGCAATCATGAAATTAGACTGGAGGGAACATGTGTAACACCTTGTAGATACAGAAAGTATGACCCATAAAAATTAAGTGACTGTCTCAAGGTGACAGAACAAGAGAGGCACAAAGCACCACCTAAAATCTTGATACCTTTTCTTTTGTTTTTTTTTTTCTTTTAAAGAGGCAGGGTTGAGCTATGTTGCCCAGGCTGGTCTTGAATGCCTGGCCTTAAGTGATCCTCCCACCTTGGCTTCCCAGAATGCTGGGATTACAGGTGTGAGTGAGCCATCTTGCCTGGACAAAATGTAGATCTCCTGATGTCTAGTCTATTCGCCTTTACGGTAAAGCACACTGCCTCTTATTTTAATAAGTATCACAAGTGTAGTATAAAAAAACTCTGGGTGGGCATGGTGGCTTCCCTCCCCAGTAATCCTAACTACTGGGGAGGCTGAGGCAGCAGGATCACTTGAGCCCAGATTGAGTTTGTTTCCCAAAGACACATTTAAAATATGTGTGATCTTGGGCAGGCCATTTAATCTCTGTGAGGTCATCAGCCTTTGCATAGTGTCAACCTCCCTGAGCCTCAGTTTCTTCAAATCCAAAATGGTTATAGCACTTATAAACTTGAAATATGGATTGAATTTTTTAAATAAATGTAGAAATTGTCACACAGTAGGTAGCACACAAATGTAATTTGAATGCAGAATGAATTGGCACATGAGAATATATGTCATCATTAAACCATGACTGTCACAATCACCCACAACTAGTTTTCCTGCATTTGGTTTTGTGCCTCTCTCTGTTATCTTTCCCAGCACACCCAATGTGTTTTCTGTCCTGCCAGCAAAGTAATACTTCCTCAGTGTAAATTTGGCCATGCCCTCCTAATTTCATGATTCTTCTTTGACTTTCAAAATACGATGAAATGAAGTCTAGATTTCTTAATATGTCATATGATCCTTTGTATGCTGGACTTTATAATTGTCAAACAACAGTTTCCTAGTTTACATTTCAGCACTTCTGAACTTGATAGATACCGTGATACACACACTCTCTCCTTCCTCCATGCTTTTGTGTATATTGATTTGTCTACACACCTTTCATTTCTCAATATCACCTACTGTGTAGCAAAGTATCCCTTGTGCCTCCACAGATGAAGGTGCTCTTTACCCTGTGTTCCCATCCCCTTCAGGCTCTTCGTAGACTGATTAGTACATATCTTGCCTAGGACAATTCTTTAAATTTTAGAAAGACCATTGGATAAATATATTCTGCTTCCCATAAGCTTTTAGAGAATCATATAAATGGTCTTTCCTGTTGCTTTATTCTGAGTTCAAAAGCCAGTCTGAGGGCTTTAAGAATATAGCACCTTATTGAGTAACTCAGATTTGCAAACCAAGAAAAGCTGCCCATACAAAAAGAGGTGGCATAACAGAAGTACTTGGTTGGGCATCCTCCAATATACCCGTCCAGTGAAGGTGAGGTACTTAGCTTAATGGCCTCTCACGGAGCTAGTAGCTCACAATAGACTACACTTGAATAATGAAAGTGTATTTGATGATCAAAATGTGACAGTTTCTCATAAAATTGTTGGAATCTAGAAATCTAGAATTTAGAAAATATGTATTACAGAAGACGAGGAAGTATTTGAATTAGGTGTAAGGAGCATATCATGAAGGACAGATGGATTGTTTGAACATTTTGTTTGGATACTTGTAGAAGGTGCCAGGCATTACCCTTTGACCTTTGACCAGAATCTTGAATTGCAGAAACAGAGAAAAGCTGTCTGTAGTGAGCAGACACCCCAGTGGGGAGGTCCTTGGTTTAGATACAAACTAAAGGAGCCCTGAAAAACTATTGGTTGGTAGTAAAACTGGTGAATGCTATTCTGTCAGTTTTCTTACATCTTTATTCATCTTTTCTGTGGTTAATGTTGTATAACAATTTATGCCTCAATCCATTTTCTCACATTTTAATCTTAAAGTTGTAACATGCTATTGCAACATGTTCATTAACAGAAAAAATGAACTTGGTATTTTTGCTTTTCATCTTTTGCATGAATTATAGAACATTGTGAATGATGTCTCAAAGCATCTCTTTCTAAACTTATGTTAATCACTTTCATGGAAAGATTTTTTTTCATATGCTTGATTTTTTTAATTGAAAATGACTCTTGAGAAACAAACAAAAAAAATACCAACTAGAAAACTATTTTTGTTTAGTGATCTGTTTTCATTTGTAATCTATTTCTTGAAGGAAAAGACATTATTTCTTCTATATATTTTTATATGATATGTAGAACATTATAGGCACTCATGCAGACAAAACTAGACCTCCTCTTGCCTAATAAGTAAAATCCCAGAAAAATAAAATTAAATGTTTTTATAAAATAAATTAAATACCTGTTAAAACAGTAAATTCTGTATTGACATTTTAAAAAATTATTTAGGAATTCTGTTGTTGTTCAACTGCAAATTATTCCAGTTTCCAAATCTTATTATTTCAAAGGAGAAAGTGGCCTTCTTTGAATAAAAGTCCAATGTGCTGACTGATACCCTCATGAAATATTTATGAAGAAAAAAAGCCGTTACATATAAATATAAACAGTAACGTGTGAGTTTAATGATTATTCCTTCAAATTAGGAACTCTAGCTGGTAGTCTAGTCTAAATTAGCATAGACCTAGCCATACAGTGCTGAGGAGCATACAGTCAACATCAACCTGTATTAAACCATTAGAACAATTGCTCACATTATGCACAGTACAATGGAAGCTTGGCATTTATCAAACAAAGCCATATTGTTATAGGATACATCTCATTTATCTGCCTAAGTCAATCAAATTAACCAGATACTTTGTAACATTTGCACTTTATTCTTATTCTGTGTGCTTCATCTCTTTCAAAGAGGTGTATCTCCTAGGTCCTCTGTATCTCTGAATCATCTCTCCTAGCATTTGGGATCTCCTTCTGCATCTGACATCAGAATTGATTAAAATATTTAAAGAGAGAGGAAAGACAAAAGAAAGAAAAAAGAATGAGCTATACTGCATCAAATTATTAAACAGGATATAGAGAAGACATTGTTACCTATACAGAAAACTGCCCAAATTTTAAATAATAAAACAAAACCCATCAGCTTCTTTTACTGCAACTAAGTTAAAGGGCAAAACAGTGTGGCTATAAAATAAAACATAAAGATGATATAGTGGCTTTAGCTTGACCCAACAACAGAGCCTCTGAAGTATTCAACCCTCAGCCCCCTGACAACTATAAAAAGCATGGGGTTAACCGAATGCAAAGGTTAGATTGAAGATTCTTGTGAATTATAGTCTTTTGATTTGTGAGCTCTTAACTACAAACTTTTCCATTTATTGCCCTGCCCTTATCAGGTTTTTTAGATCTCTGTACAAATATAGTAGTGTTCAGCAGGAGTAGCATGACTCAGAAAGAAATCTATTTATCAAGAAAATGCAGTGACTAAGTTCTAGGAGTTCAAAACACATGTCTTCTTAACTGAGGGTGGGGGATGGGAGGGTAGGAGTTAATTTTTTCATATTACTGCTTCAGTTAAAAAAGAAAACAAAACAGGTTTGTCTTAAGCAGGAAGGAACATGTTGATATTCTAGGAGTTATAGAACTACAGCAAGGAAAAAAAATGAACCAAATCGGGTTAGGAACACAAAATCTCTTTCCACCCACCTAACCACCCCTTTTTATCCAAATTTTACATGGGCTTAAGCTCAACTCCTTATACTTAAATTTGACAAATTTATGCTGCCTACTTGAAGGCTTAACTAGTTTGCTTTCATAGCAAACAATGGATGCTATTTTGTTGCCTGTAAAAAATTCATTTCCATATTTATACCTGATTTCTGCAAGACTTTTCTGTTCTATTAGTTTCCAGCTATGCTTATAGAGACATTGGAATAAAAAACGATATGGCTGACATCAAAGAGGGGAAAGAAAATATGTCACCTGAACCCAAAGTTTTCTTTGCGGCAGGATACTTGGTTTCTAATCATTTTATCAATCAAATATTTGCAGGTTCTCCACTGATTTATTGTTTATGTATCTTTAAAATTCAAATCTAAATCATTTCTTATATCTATGCATCTATGTCCCAGAAAGTAGGCAAGATACTATTATATTATAATTAATGAGCACATCAATTTTTACAAATAAAGGAAATAGAATCCTGATTACTTAGCAATTATTAAAGGCTTTCTCCAAATAATATTTGTAATCACAATTGAACTCAAAATCTTTTCTGTTCAGCCTTGCTTATCTTCCCACCAGAACTCACTTGCATTCCAGAATAAAAGTTCTCATAAAATATTTTTCAAGGTAAATTTTGTGTCTGATTTATAAATGTTGGATATGTTTTATTTTTTAAAGGCTTAAAAGTAAATTAGCAATGATTTCAAAGTTCAGATACCTATAATTTATGTTTTACTCAAGGCCTTCTTAATCACTGGAGACAATCTCCAAGGGCAGATATGTATCCTCACTCAAGGGAGGCAACCTTCAACAAAAGTGAAATTTTAGATGAATTAAAGTGTTAGACTTGATTTAGCCTTTATATGTTTTTCCTAATCATGTACCATTTAATTTCAAGTTAGTTTCATTAACCATAAATCTATACTGTCACTAAATTATAAAACAATTTTATTCTAAGAATAAATGTTAGTCAATGTGCTTATTTAGAAAAAAAGAATTAATGAAATAAAACTAATACAGTCATGCACACTTTATTTGGGCTGCTTCTCCATTCTTCCACCCCCAAAGTGGAACAAAAATGATAGAAATAAAGATAAATCTATGAATTTTACCTTTTATTGCCAAATAATTCTGAACATTTTGATGTTCCCCATTACTTTAGAAAAATATGTGGTATTCTAAAAATATATGTCGTTGAGATGATACGTTAGCCAGATTTTGACAATATAGACTCCACTTAAAAAAAAAGATGTGATTAAAAGCAAGAAAAGAAGGAAATAATCCTGGCGTTGTTGCTGTACTTATTAATGCACCACACGCTTTTGTTTGCACCTGCTTCACTTTTGTTTAAAAGTAAAGAACAGTATTACAGCACGTAATCCAGGGTGTTGATGTTGTGGGAGGGGACTTAGAGTAAGGAAATATTCAGAAACAATTTCCTCCACATAGAAAAGAACAGAACTCTCTTACCTTTGAGCCAGGTAGTTTCCAAGAGAGACGCTCAGGGATATTTAGAAAGCCTGGGACCTGCGGATGCCATGTCAGGCATGCTTGCTCCTATTCCAGGGAGACTAAATAATTTTTTTTGCTATATAAGGATGGCAGTCTGTTGTCTTAGATCAATTTGAGAAGCAGCTCTGGTAGAGGGGGGTGTAGGTGTGTTGCACTATGCTGAATGGAATAAGGCTAAAAATATGTTTAGTATCTGATAAGAATGCCAGTTTTCTCAAGCTCTCACTTAACATCGGACTTTCTGTTTTGCTTTTAAAGAAAAATGTTTTACAAGGGCAGCATGAAGCGGACAAAATCTGGAGCAAAGAGGGATTTTATGCTGTTGTCATTTTTCTCAGCATCTTTGTTATTATAGTAACGTGTTTGATGGTAAGTTTGCTTCTTTGTCTGTTTTATCCTTTGCTGAGCCCACTGCTTGGTATTAGTGGGTACATTGCCATTCAAATGAATGCTAAAATGCTCGGGAGCAGAAGCAAGACTATGATCCCGTTAGATTAGGAATATTTCATATCTGACAGCAGAGAGATTTCTAAAGGAGAGCTTATGGAATTAAGGATGCTGACCTGAATAATAAGGCTGTAATTGCAGTGCAGTTTTTAGTAACTTGATCAACTCTGAGAATGAAGCTTTAGAAAGTGATTTACTGAGGTCGCTGAAGCCCTCGACATCAGTAAAGTCTCACGGGCACACTTTGGGTTTTCTTTATATCTCCTTTTATATCATCTTTATGGAACTCAGGAAAAAAATTAAAAAGAAATATGTCTTTGGGACAAGCTTACTCCCTAAGGAACGGTTGATTTCCTTATTTTTAAAAGGCCTCAAAAGCATTCTATGAAAAGGAGATGATTATACCCTCAAAGGCTAAATTAGCTAGACTACTAGTTCATTTTAAGGTGAATAAATAATACAAAAGTATAAATGCATATGCTGGGATAGCTCTGTAAGTAATAATATGCAGGCTTTAAAAGCATATTTCTAATTTTAAAAATAGAATCCAAAATAAACCTAACCCACTAAATTAAGCAGTACTATTTAGTATTGAATGAATTAACAGTATGTTTAGAGTAGAATAAGATTTTTCTGCTCTCTTGAAAATTTCAAGATGTATAATATTTAGAGTTTACAAATAGGGTTTTAATGTCCTTTTTCCCTGTGAGCTATGTTCTTTTTAATTTTGTACATTAAAAAAAATACTTCTTCCTTAGTTTTTAAGTGCCCCCCAAAAGTCATTACACTCCTTATTTCTCTCCACAATCAACAATGTTGCTATGTGTTTTATTGGACGTTGTTTATTTCTGCTCCCCCTGCTGGGAAGGGGTTACTGTTAGAAAGATTAGGGCTCCATCTGGAAAGACAGAGGCTGCATGGGTCTAACCTTAGAGGACGTAAAACAAGCATAGTCTTAAACAGGGTAAAGATAGGCATGTTTTCTAGAGTTCAAAATATGTGAAGTAACAAGAACACCCTAAATCTTCCACCATAATACATTCAGAGGTAGCTTCTATAGGTCAGGCGCTAAGAAAAAAAAATTCTAAGAATTGTGACTCAATAAACAAAAGAAAAATTTTAAATTGAGTTAAAAAAAACTTATTTTTATATTTCACATGGTAGAGATTAAGAGAAAAGAATTTTAATGAGAGAGTTGGAGGTTTTGCAGAAATTGCGGCAGAGTATTCTGGGCATCTCTTTTAAGGATGTAGTTCCTTGTTATAGTTAATTGTCCTTTAATATAGGTGGTTCTTCTTTCCTTCATATGGAAATCTCAAGTGCTGTTCCCTCTCTTGTCAGTCACAATTAGCGTGTTTTTCTTCTTTGCATGCTAAGAAGATAAGAGGAGGGGGAGAATAGAAAGTTGTTGAAAGTGATAAAAGTGGAAAATATTCAGGGGATCGATGGATGTGATTCAGAAAAGCAAAGGCAGGGATACAAGGAGGGAAGTGGGAAAGCAGATTCATGCCCGGCCTTTGAGTACTAAGCAGAGCTTGTTATTAACATGGAGGATGTGTTTCAGATTCTACATTTCTAACTCAGGGTGTGCTCATGTATCCAACGTTAACTAGATAAATGTCTATGTTGGTCTCATGGCAAAACGACCTGTAGTAGTCACACCTCGGATGACTCTTCCTTTCCCAATATTTAAGTCAGAAACTTAGGTAAGTTGGCTCCAAAGTTATTAGAACAAATCAAGAAAGGGGCATTTCAGAAGTATAGGTGATTTCTCTCTATTGGGTTAGCAGGTAAATTCGCCTATTCATTCAGTCAACAGATTCTTGCAGAGTATTCTCTGTGGGCCTATTTGTTGTTGGTGTTGTGGGCAAAGCAGAAAACAGGACAGATAAGATCCCTGTTCTCCTGAAGTCTTTACTTTAGAGGGAGACATAGAAAATGAGTTAATTTTTTAAATATCAAATGGTGAATGTATGATGTGATTCCAACTGTATGACATTCTGGAAAAGTCAAGCCTATAGAGATAGTAAAAATATCAGTGGTTGCCAGAGATTGCAGAGAAAGGGAACAATTAGGTAGAGGACAGCAGATTTTAGGGCAGTGAAACTATTCTGTATTCTGTAATAATGAATTCATGACATTATGGATTTGTCAAAACCTGTAAAATGTATGAAGAGTGAGCCCTAATCCACACTATGGACTTTAGTTAATAATAATACATCAATATTGATTCATAAATTGCAACAAATGAATCACTAATAGGGCAAAATGAAGAGGTAGGGAAGAAAGGTATGTGAGAACTTGGTATATTCTGTTCAGTATTTCTGTAAACCTAAAACTGCTCTAAAAAATAGTATATTTTTAAAATCACAGTGATAAGTGCTATGAAGAAAAGAGCATAACAGTGAGTGGAGAAGAGCAATCTGAGATGTTTGAGACCTAAGGATGAAAATGTGAGAAAAGGACCCCCAGGCAGAGGGTACAGTGGGTGCAACTGGAATAAGCCTAGCCTATTCAGGCCTGAGGGGAAGAATGTTTTAGGCAGAGCCTTGATGTGATCTTCTATGTGTGATCACATTTTCTTCTGGTAGAAAGTGGTGGTGGACAGAGGATGGGGAAAATTGTGGAAGGAAGAGGACCTTTCTGGAGGCTTCTGCAATATCCCAATGAAGAAGATGCTGCTGGCCCAGAGCAGGGGTGGGTGGTGGGGATAGAGAGTAGTAGAGGATTGAGATTTACTTGTAAGTAGAACTGACAGAACTTGCTATGTCCCAATTATCAGCAAGAGGGGGGAATTAAAGATGATTCCTAGGTAATTTGGCTTCCCTGCCTGTGTGGAAATGTTCTCATTTCCTGGGAGAGGGATGTGTTGGAAATGGAGATGAGCATGTTCAGATAGTTCTTAAACAAATGAAAGAAATAATTAAATAGATTTCAAATGCTATCTTAAATTTTAATATGAAGGAGTCACTTTTGAAAGTAGCAGGGGGACCAGGTGCAATGGCTCACACCTGTAATCTAAGCACTTGGAAGTCAGAGACAGGGGGATTGCTTAAGCCCAGGGGTCTAAAACCAGCCTGGGCAACACAGTGAGACCCATCTTTACAACAAAAAAAAAATGGTTTAAAAGATTAGCCAGGCTGATGGGACATGCCTGCAGTCCCAGCTTCTGAGGAGACTGAGAGGGGAGGAGCACTGGAGCCCAGGAGTTTGAAATTACAATGAGCTATGATCATGCCACTTTACTCCAGCCTGAATGATAGATACTCTGTCTCTGAAAAATATATAAATAAATACAAATTCTGAAAAGAAACAGAGGAACCAGCAGCACACAGACCGGAAGTTCATATTCACAAGAAAAGAAATACTACCCAATAGGATTAACACCAAGCCAAGTTGATCTGATGTAACTTACAACAGAGGAGTCAAGAGTTCACGTTTAGGGACATGTTAAAGAGATTGTCTACGATAAGCTCATCTTTATAAGTGTTCAAATTATTGTGATTATAAACTTGATTTAAAGTAAGTTTTTCACATGCATTTCTCAGCGATACTTGTACTATCACTTTTGTCTTTCTAAAACACATGTATTCCAGTTATGTTTCCCATAGTTTGGTGATGACAAAGGAAAGATATAACTCAGAATTTTCCCTCTGGCATTGATTATATTTATGAAAGATCAGTGCTTCCATTTGTATTAGGCTTCCTACATGCCAGAAATGAAAAGCATGTCATTTTATTATGAAATTATATAGGTAAATTGCTGTAATGGGAGGTTGTATGTGCTATGTAACAACAACATAAGACTTGGCAAAAATTTTTGAAAAGTGGCATATTGTTTACTTTCCTATAAATATAAATATATATATATGTTGCTGGGCATAAAATTAGACAGCCATGACATTTTCAAATGTGTGACTTATTTAGCACCTCACAACTGTGAATGTAGAGTGCGTGGAGTGAGAAATAGAAAAATGCAGTTTTCCCAGAAAAAATGTGTGGGCAACTTCCAGTCTATTCAGTCTGTTTTAGAAGAAAGAAAGTTGTTACTAAGAAGAATTAGTTCTTAAACTTGAAGAAATAATAGAGCATCATTTATTATGTAAATTAGACATTCAAATGTCCTTACGGGCTTATTAACAAGTGCAAAGACATTTATGAAATGTAGGTAGAAATGTCTACAGGCCAGATTGCTTCTGGAAAGTAGTTTTAGAAATCACATGAAAATAGTTGTTTGGGTCAAATAAAAGCACTGGCATGTTAGACCCATAGGAGAGTCATACATATGGGAGAGAGAGAGTTTCTCTAGTTATAGTCTGGTAGCTGTAGCAAGAAATCCTACATTGAACCACCTGCTATAGCCTTAACATCACGTAATAAATACATGTCAAAGGTGAACATAATTTTCTCATTTGTTATACATAATCCCTAAGGACAAAGGAAAATGGGACTAGATTCCTCGCTGGAATGATTGATTAAGTAGGCATATATCTCAAACTAATTTTCAAATTTTTTCTGTATTAAGAAGAATACAACTGTCTTAACAGTAATAACAATAACAATTAGTTTCTTCCATTTATTGCAGTTATTGGTACTAAACTTACTGCCTAGCACTAAATGCTTAACATATTTTAGTTTACTAATTTTACTTGTGAGAAAACTAAGATTCAGAAAAAGTAAATGACTTGAACAAGAACGTGCAATGAATGGATATGGGGTCAGAGAGTAGGAAGTGGTAAAAATTCAAACCCAAGTCTATCTAAATTGAAAGTCAGGCCCACATAATTCTATTTGATTTCATAAGGTGTCAAACTGTGAGGTTTTTAGTCTTACCACTCTGTCTTGTGAACATACACTTCCGACCACAAATCCCTCCAGTAGTAGCAGATGAGAATGGCTGTATTTATCAGAACCATTCTACCCAGATGAAACTGGTAAATGTGTGCCACACCATACCTGTGTCTCTTTGCACTTAGTGCCTTGTACTGAACACACTTTTTACACAGTTATCTTTTCTGGAAGCCTATGAATTCCCAGAGGACAGACTTCTGTGTTGCTTTTGCATCTACAATATCTTGTTTATGGAATGCAGTAGGGATTGACTCAGGACTATTAAATTGAAAGAAAAGAATGAATGAACTCTTTCAGAACTAATTGTAAAATGCCATAAAGAACAAATGTTAAAGACTAGTGATTGGTGGCATCATTTTGAAATCTGAACACATTCTAATCCAAACAGGATGTTTTGTGTTACTTATGAGATTTTTGAATGAAAATTTTAAGCTGCAAAAAAGCTTCATAGAATTTTTTTAGCTTCCTCTCATTTCTGTATTCCTCTGGTTCTTTAGTTCCCACTATTTTCTTTCTCTTGGTATAGTTTGACTTTTACAGCTCCTCTCATTCAATAATATGTTTTTTCCTTTTTCAAATTATTACATGACTTTATTCCAATAAAAAGAGCTAGTCAAACAAGCTCTTAGAGATGAAGGCAAAATATCGACTTGCCATTGCTGCAGAAAGCTTTTAGGTTGAGTTTTTAAACAAAGTGAATTCCCACAGAGAAATATGCATACGCTATATTCCAGATCTCAATCTGTGCAGAGAAAAATCTCTGACACTGTTTTCCAGATGCTTTGGAAAAGAGGTTTCAAAGAAGGACAGGAGAATTTGGCAGAAACAGTAGAGTTGAATGATCACATACCTGGAAGTCAGAAAACCTAGATTCTACGTTTTTTTTTCCAACCCTCCATAAATCATCCAACATCTCAGTACTTAAATGTGGAATGAGGAGATTACTCCACAAAGTTTTTATGATCCCTTACACCAGGGTTTTACCAGCAACACTCCTGATATTTTGGAGTTACTATTTCTGTTGACGGGGGTGTGGGGGAAGCCTTTTCAATGCATTGTGAGGTAGTTAGCCTTTGCCCACCAGATGCCAATAGCACCCTTTTCCTTCTCCTTCCCCCCAAACCCTGAAAATATGACAACCAAAAATATCCCCAGACACTACCAAACATCTCCTGAGGGCAAAATCCCTGCCAATTGAGAATCACTGCATTGTACAACTTGATTACTACCCTATTGCCAAGTAGCAATCTCTTACATTTTTTCCATATTTTTTTTAGACAGCGCCATCTCCTGAGTATTTTTAGTGACTTATATACATCATACATTCTCCAGGTTCTGCTTTTCCCTAATTAAAGATGTAGAGATCAGTTTGTACATGTACTACATGGAGACAGGCTACAAAGTTGACCTCTAACCAGACATGAAATAAACAGATGACTGATTGTAAAATATGTTACAAAGGTTTTTCATCAAAAACATAAGCGCATGAATGGTAAGGAAGAACTTTGGACTAGACTCTGTTTTACACTAATATAAGTCATAAAAGCCGCCTGTCAAGAACAATTGAGAAGGTCAGGATTTCCTTGGCTTTCTCATGCTCACTGTTCGTTCATGTTTCTCCAAAATCCAAGTATAAACAGGAAAGTAAGTGTTTTGATATGCATATTCTATGTAGACGTGAAGAGCTCAGAATATGTAATACATACATTATCTCCTAAATGTATTTTTATAAAGGTACAGATATATTTGTTTCTTCATTTGGGAAAATAACTTCCTTGAAACTAAAACAATCTATTTTAAATTTCGACACCTCATTGTTTAGTAGTTAAATGCTTAGCTGAACACAATAAGCCTGAAATATATGTATCATCTGATAGATACTCTCCTAGTGCATTTTTTACACTGTGAAGGTCATGGAAACTGAAGAAAAGCAGTAAGGTAAAAACCTTGGACACTATGCACATGATAAAGGCATTCCTCTTCAGTCCTTTCCATCCTATAACTTAAAGAAAACACTATACACTTGTTTGAAAGTAATTATAATAAAGGTAAGAAGACCTTTCACTTAATATTAGACACATTTTCTTTCTCATTTGTGTGATTAACATTTGTCATGTGAATATTCCAAATCCACCCTTTTTTCAAACTTTAAGATTTAACTTTACCCTACCAGAGTCAATGAATACCACCAGTATAAAAGTTTCCAGATTACAAGGAGGTGAACTGACATAAAAAACAAAAAAAGTCTTTGTTTTCCTAGGAGTTCAGTGTTTAATATGCATTTCTAGTTCTATCTTGTAGATGCATAGTCTCTTCCCTTAAGGAGGGCTCAAGGTTGCAGTGAGCTATGATCACAGCACTGTACTTTCACCTGGGCAACAGAGCCAGATCCTGTATCTAAATAAAATACTAAAACTTAGGGCAAAGTGGTAAAAAGGAAAATTCTGGTTGTCCAAATTACTATTTCGTAGATATCCTAAATTTAATTTGTCATGAATTTACCAAATATTCAAGTTTACATCTGACCAATGCAAAGATTTACCAACATAAGAAACTGTGGTTTATAGCATAACTATTATTTTATTAATATTTGCAAGACTACTTTTTTCTTCTATGCCATATTGGATGCGTATCTCTGTTTCTATAAATGTCATAGATCCCTGTTTCACGGTTATTCCTTCTATAAGCCTACCATTTCAGGCATTTTAAGAAAGAATTCCCATGTAACCAAACTGACATCTGGCATTTTTTATAAAATTGGTTAAATTTACTTTTGAATATATCTTTGAGGAACAGATTCATGTGCACAATTATTTGATACACATGTGCAGCATAACTAGAAATACCAAGTATACCATCTTTAGAAAAATCTCAAAACCACAAAACAGAAATCATCTATTAGAGGGCTTTGTTTACTTTATCTTTAAGCCTTTATTTTGGTTTGTCTGCTAGGTTAGGGTGAAGGAGATCATACTCTGTTGTTTAGCGTAATAAAATGTGACGGGGGTTTTTTATATCTGTTTCTATAGATTCTTTACAGATTAAAAGAAAGGTTCCAGCTTTCTTTAAGACAAGATAAAGAGAAAAACCAGGAGATCCACCTATCGCCCATCACATTACAGCCAGCACTGTCTGATGCAAAGACAGTCCACAGCATGGTCCAACCTGAGCAGGCCCCAAAGGTACTGAATGTAGTCGTGGACCCTCAAGGCCGAGGTGCTCCTGAGATCAAAGCTACCACCGCTACCTCTGTCTGCCCTTCTCCTTTCAAAATGAAGCCCATAGGACTTCAGGAGAGGTAAGAGCTTGTTCTGTATCCCTTACATGTGGCTTTTTATAAAAAGAGTATTCATCAACTAAAAAAGAAAGAACTAGCAATGATTGACATTGAAAGATCTAGCAATGATCTAGAATCGTTCACCACTAACTGGACACTCAGATGAAGTAGTGTTTCTTATCTCCCAAAAGAATCCAGCTGTGTTAGATAAAATCTGTTAGGTAAATCTGATTCTGCTAAGCTTGTCTAGATCCAAAATGGTGTAGATCCAAGCAAAATTCATTTTCAGCTACAAGACAGCTTCTAGCTCATTGAGGTTCACTGACCCCACAAGATGCTATCTTGTTTAATTGTCATGAAACTCTGGTAAGTAGAGGGACTGGGAATTAACTCAGAGTGTTTCCTACAAACGCCCACTTTGTCTGGAGTCAGGCAAAAGGAGTCTGTCTGCCATGGATGAATTTTCTTTAAGTTTTAGTTCTGTATTTTTGTAACCACAATGAACATTCGTTATCAAGATCCATGACATTGGACAGGTGCAGTGACTCACGCCTATAATCCAAGCACATTGGGAGGCTGAGGCAGGTGGATTACTTGAGACCAAGAGATGAAGACCGGCCTGGCCAATATGGCAAAACCCCATCTCTACAAAAATTAGCCGGGTAAGGCGGTGCACCCCTGTAATCCCAGCTACCCGGGAGGCTGGGGTATGAGAACTGCTTGAACCTGGGAGGCAGAGATTGCAGTGAGCCAAGATGGTGCCACTGCATTCCAGCCTGAACAGCAGAGTGAAACTCTGTCTGAAAAAAAAAAAAAATCAATGCTATTATTTTTGTTGGCTTACCTTTTTTTGTGATATATTATACATGTGATTCACTTTATACTGATACATTTCCATTAAAAGCAAATCCAGTGTAAGAAAACTAGAATACGCAAACATAAATGAAGGATTAATTCTTTGCTTCTAAGAAATGTTAAGTAAAGCTTTCCTATGGTGTTTCTTAAAATAAGAAGCTTTAATTTTATATTTAAAATAGGATTTGTAGTATATCCTACTTTGAACACCAGGGTAGTGGGAGAGTAAGTTCTTAAGGTAATATTCCAGGTTCATTCTCCTGTTATTTTTCTGTGTCTCCGTTTCATATCCATGTATTTTTTGTTGCCTTAGGTTTTTAAGTCACATATATAAATTTTTAATATATTCCCCATGATACATCACAATGCCCTATGCAAATAGTTATGGTTTACACACACAAACACACCCTTTAAGAAAATATAGCGTGAGGTTTTAAGAACTGCAGAAGGCAAAATGGATCCTTCATAATTATTTGAAAGTATTGCCAAGGAGCAATGAATGACATAAAGATAAAGGAATTTGTTTATCTCTAAAGATCCTTAAAAACCGAACCCTTTGACTCAACAACAGGAAGAAAACAGAGATTGATCAAATCATCCTTTCCACTTCCTCCTCTAAAATATTTGTTGGTTTCTTGATGGATAATGTGGTTTCCATGTGACATTCACTTACATAGATATCACTAAACTGCTTTTTGAGATTCAATATGGAAAGATAGACAAGATGGAACTTTCTCCCTGAGGCTAACTTGGAGTTAAGAAAACTGGATTCCAAACCCAGACCTGCTATTCCTGGATTAGATTTCCTCACCTGAGTCACTCACTCATCTGGGCCTCATTTTCTTCTAAAAGATGAAGAGGTTTAACTTGATTTTTTAGCTTCTTTCTGGTTCTTTTACTTTGTTATCCAAATTATTGTTGTGCATTTACATTTGCTTCAAAGAGGAACTTTGAAACAGAGACCTGAGCTCAGTGATGAACTAAGGGTTGGTGGCAAGAAAGGTCTGCAGGCAATAAGAGGCCATGTTGCCTCTAGTAGAATGAAGGGTCGTAATAAAAATGATTAAAAGTCAGACACATTTTTATTGCCATCATGCACTACCAATTCTAAGCAAGGTCATTGTCTTAGAATTGCTTAGACAATTGTCTCAGCAATTTTCTAAGGAGGTAGCCATTTCCAGCACCCTGCCCTCTGTAGACCACTGCAGGACATTTTGGTCTACAATTTAAAGGAGTGTACGACTGAGTATTAATTTATTTATTTCATTAAAGTGAATCCTTGAGAAGGGAGAATACAAGGACAGAATCATACCCATCTCTTTGGTCCACCTGGGGGATTCTAGCAGAGTAAGTACATAATCAATGTTAAATAGATTCTCTGTGATTCTAGCAGAGTAAGTACATAATCAGTGTTAAATAGATTCTCTGTCCCCTGATCTACAACTTCCCCACATCCTACACTTCACCTCCTACTTTCTTCCACCTTGGAGCAGAAGACTATTCTCTCCACAGAGGCTTCAGGTGATTCCCCCCAACCCTAGTAACAGCATCAGTCTTCCTCTTCCATCTTAAACTGTACCCTCTTTGCTAATGCTGTTCCCTCGACATTCTTTTTGTATTAAAGAAACTCCCATAATTGAATTCCTTCTCTGGTTCTTGTTTTTTCTTCCTTTCTCAAATACATGTCTTAAAAGAACAGAGTGTACCTGCTGCCTCGTTGGTCTTTTCCCACCTTTCATTCTCGCTGTTTCTTTCACATGCTTGATTATCAAGTTAATTATCAATGGTCTCACTACGAAATCCAAAGCAAATGTTTCATTTCCCATCTAGTACTAATAACTACCTCCTTTTTAAACTTCTCTCCTCCTTTGTCCTAAAATACATCAATTTTCTGTTTCTTGAGTGGCTACCTGTGGTCTCTTCCAGATTCCCTTCTCTTGTTACCCTCAGAGTTTCATTCTGTGTCATCTTCTCTCCTCCCTGAGTCATCCAACCACAGCCACTTCTCTTACTATGTTTAGTGATTCCTGAAAAAGTACTTTAGCTTGAATCTACCTTTCTGTTGAGATCCAGACCCATTTTTCAGCTCTGAACTGTGCATTGCTATCCTGACCTTTCTTAAACACTACCAACTTAAAACATTCAGAAATGGAACTCAAGACCTTCCTCGTTAAATCATTTCTCTTCTTTTTAAATTGTGACTCTCTGAAACCAGTAATATCTCAGCTCCTCCATGTTCTTTTTTCATCCTCCCCATATAGCCTAACATTATAAAGACCTGGCACCTTCTCCCAAGTGTTCCCCCACTGTCTAACTCCAATCCCACTAAGAACTCAGAATCTCCCCAATTCTAACCAGTCTCCTTCTGGTCCCCACCTCAAATTCTGTTTTTTTCCAGTCTGTTCTCTAAACTTCTCGAACAGTGGTTTTCTAAATTATATTTGAGTGTTTCTCTCTTTATAAAATTCTTCAGTGTTTTCATATTACCTTCTGGAAGAAACTGGTAATTTCTACATATGAAATGTGAGGCCCTTTTTAGTCTGGCCTTTGCTAGCCTGTGTCCCCCGCTTAATTCCTGCTAAATACCCCCTTAGACTCACCCCGCTACTTGGACATTTTTCCAGTAACCATGCCATTCTCTTTTAAGCCTAAGAATTAATACTTGCCTAGAACCTTTTCCTTTCCCCTACTCCTCCTTGCCCTTGAAGAGTAGCACCAGTAGAATGGGCATGAATCTGGGTCTACAAATCAAAAAGACGAGGAACACAATTTTACTCTTCTGAAACTCAGCCTAAGCTTTTTTTTTTCTAGATGCCATTTCACCTAAATAGTAGAAACTTAATCTCAACTCTTTTCTGATTCGCCTGACCAACTTCTGGTTTCCTAGGGTGTCCTCTACATTTTAAGGAGACTTTCTCAACATGAAGAGTAAGGCCACCATGTTGTTCCCTGTTGCTATTCAGGTAGCCCATTCATTTTCTGCAGTCGCTTTCTCCTTTTCTGTCTCTCTTTCTCTTTGTCAGTTGTATCCAAACCACTCTTAGATGCCCAAGAATCATCTCACTGCTCTACCCCAAATGGTGGCACAGGAAAGCATGTCTAACACATGATCCCCCAGAAACACTTTGCAGCCACTTCTTCTCATGGCTCTACCAAGGATCACAGTCTGCCTACTAAAGGTCCCCCATTTCCCAGGGCGCTGTGAAGCATACAGGGTCTCACTGGCACCTGCACCCACAAAGCAGCCCCTGTAACACTGTACCCTCACCTGAGCCATGGACTTTTCTTAGGCTTTGGGAATAGAAAACCCTACTCTGACTTATTTCACATTCTACTTTATCTGGCATCCACACCCTGAGACTCCACCTTTCACCAAGGCCCTGGCCTTTAGAGCACAAAGCCCATGGCAGGACTCAAATTTCCCTGCTTTCTGCTCTCAGATTTCCTCAAAGACAATAAAGCACCAAAAGACCCTGGCAGCCCGAATACAGTGAAGGTCCAAAGTGGGAGTAGGACTATAAGGAGGGGAATTTGGAAGCCAATTAGAGGCTGCCTCTACCTCCTTCTCCTTCTTCCTCCAGCCCAGTACTGATTCAGCTGCTTCTCTTCAGTTCCCCCTGTTTAGTTCAGTAACCCTGTGTGCATACAGCATTTATAGCACTTCTTTGTTGTCTTTTAAGTTCTGGCTTACTAATCTGTTGTAGCCAATAGACTAAGCTTCTTGAGGACACATATATGATTAAATGTCTCCTTATCTTTTACATGTAGAACATAATTTCTGGAGACCAGGAGCTCCTGGAAATAAATGCCTGAATGAATGAATTAACCAGTTAATGACTGTTATTATGACTAATCTCAGGTCAACTCCCATAGTTATTGGGAAACACTTTGCCTATTCTACCATCCCTTCCTGGTCTATTCTCCCATTTTTTGCCACAATGCCCTGCCAAGATGGCATAATGCAGTTTTAAGAGTGACAAAATTTGAAGAATATACAGTATTCCATGTAGTCAGAAAACTTTTCTGGCAGTTTTAAGCCTTAAAATTTAATTTACATATATATGTTTTAATTGTGCCTTTAAAACAGTCTTATGTTTAGTAGCTGTCCATCTTTTGATCCTGGAGTGAGGTAATAATCTTCTACTTATTACATAAAAGTCTGGCTT